TATCTTGCAGTGCTGGTTTGGTGTTAATATATTCCCTTAGCCTTTTTTTTTGTCTGGGAAGCTCTTTATTTAACCTTCTATTTTGAATGATAGGTTACTGGATAGAGTAGTCTTGAATTCAGATCCTTGTTTTTTATGACCTTGATTACTTCATGCCACTCCTTTCTGGCCTGTGATTTTTCTGTTCAGAAGTCAGCTGAGAGCCTTATGGGGTCTCCTTTGTAGGCAACTTGTTGCTTATCTCTTGCTGCCTTTAAGATTATCTCTTTGTCTTTAATTTTTGGCATTTTAATTATTATGTGTCTTGGTGTGGGCCTGTTTGGGTTCTTCTTACTTGGAGCACTCTGTGCTTCTTGTACTTGAATGTTCTTCCTTCACCAAGTTAGGAATGTTTTCTGCCACTATTTCTTTATATATGTTCTCTAAGTATTGCCCATTTTCTTCCTATTGGTGTTCTGCTGTTTGTGGCTCCCTCTACTGAGTATGGATGAGCCTGGGTGGGCCCACATTAAACATCACTGTCAAGTCTTACTTTCCTGGGTAGATTTACAAGCCCAGGAAAGGCTCAGTTATCCTCTAGCTTTTTCCTAGAGGCTAGTAGTCTCAGTTACTCAGTGCCTTGGAATGTAGCCCTGGTGTTCTACATAAGAGGATTTCCAGAGGGTGGGATAGATGCTGGTTGTTAATAAGCTTCAATTTGCATTTCTTTGCCTCACCTGGGAAAGGCTGAATCTCCAAGGGGGCGGGGGGGGGGGGCTGCTCAGGGAAGAAGCACACTGGCCACCATCCTTTGTGGCCGCAACTCAGCAAAAATCCTGAGTGCCCTCCAAATCCCGGGTGTCCCTACGGAGTTCCAGCTCAGTCTGCCCTCCCTCTGCCAAAGCCCCCAAGTGAGTGTCTATGGCTATTTTAGTGCTCTGTCAGGCTCTCTGTGCTGTGGAGCAGGCTTGGTCTTTATTCCCCAAGGGCACTGCTCACAGCTAAGACTGCTGCTGTCCTTGGGCTCCCAGCCTGCCACCCTCTCACGCCTCTGCAGATCCTATGTGTCCCTGGAGATATGGTCCTGTCCTGTTGCTTTTCTGTTGCTTTTTTCTGAGGATTTGTCTTTATTTTACTTGTAATTCCCATTTGGTCCTGGGAGATCGTCTGTGTAGCTTCCATTCACTCCACCTCCATTTTCACATCCTCTAGGCCTATCTTGTGAGCAGCTGGGTCCCACAGGCCTCTCTGGTGCTTCAGCACCCCGCAGGTCCCATGGGTAACTGGATCACACTGTCCCTGCTGGGTTGCACAGACCTCTCTGGTGCCCCCGCACCCTGCAGGTCCCGAGGGCGGGCAGCTGGATTGCACCAGTCCCTCTTGGGCTCCAGCTTCCCACTGCTCTTGTGAGCTGCTAGACTGCACAGGCCTCTGTGGAGCCTCAGGTCCCGCCGCTGGCGGCTGGGGAGTGCTGCTGCCCCGTTGGGCTCAACTGCTAAGATTTTGCTGTAGTTTTTGGGGATGGGTCTCAACTTCTAGTCTGTGCTTCTGTTGCCTGGGGATGGATGTCTGCTCCCCAGCCTCTGTTGCTGGGGGTATATCTGGACTCTGATCAGGCTGCTACTATGGGGGATGCTGCTGGGTTCCAGGCTGTATGAGGCTTCCACAACTGGTACCTTGGGAGCTCCACTACTATGCACCGGTCTGGTCTGTGTTGACACAGAGTATCCACTGGTCCGATGGTGCCAGGTGCGCTGATGGGCTCAGGATGCTGGGCCCTAGCCGTTCCCACTGCCTCCTCCCAGGGAAGACCCGGGATCTTCCAAAATGGTGGGACCTCCCAGTGGCTCAGGGAGAAGCGCCCTGAAGGGCTGCTGACCGCAGTAGCCAGCTGTTCCATCCACAGCGCAGGAACCTTCTGCTCAGCGTCTCTGCACTGCTCGGGGTTGGTTGTCCACCTTCACCTCCACTCTCACTCTCTCACACTCACCCTCCCTCTGGTCCTGCCCGCTGCTATCTGCCGTCTGCTATTGCACCCTTTTTATAGTTGAGGAAATTGAAAAAGTTAAATAACTGGCTCAAGTTGTCAAACTCACACAGTTAATAAAGTGCAGATTTGGGAGTCAAATCTAACAGCTCATGCCTTCAACTCCAGGCTATGCTACTCTCTGTTAGCAAATGGACAATATGGTCTTATTTGTCACAAATTTGATCTTGAGTATGGGAAAGTGGATGGGACCAGGTAAGACTTGAGGCCTCTGGAACAATTCACACAGACCCAAGTTAAATCAGAGACACTCAGCTTTTATCGGTCTAAGATCCCACGCTGACTTCCCCAAGAACACTTCCTCAGCTGGATGTGTGGAGAGAAACAGATGTTTGGGCCTGTGCAAAGATCATGTCCATTGTGGGGAGGCATATGAGTAAGTGAGAGTCCCAGTTACATTCTTGTAGACTTAAAAAAACAAAAATTACCAATATGACTGATATGATTTGAATAAGAAGGTGAACATGGGTACAATGACTGGGTAAGGACATTTTCTACCCAAATTTACAAAGATTTATAGAATAAACATTATTCAATATCACTACAGTCTGGTTTCAAAGTTGATAGATATGAAGCACTCTGTGGTTGTTTTTACTAAACTATGGGTAAAGGTTTCAGATTTCTCTCCCATGCTTAAGTCAAACCAGTAGTACTTTTAAATGTGAGGTGTGGTTACAAGGTCTCAAGGAAAACAGTCTGATGTTGAAATAGGAAAACACTATGCATAAAGGATAGACAAAAAGAGAGTTGTTTAACAGCATGTAGTGATCACTGTCATTTTTACCTGAAAGAGATAAGTACTAGGGATAGAGAGTATATAGTTTAAAGAAGATTCATTACTAGAGAACCATGGGATTTTACAGTTAGCAAGGACTTCAGTGAGCAAGTTCAAGTTCTTCATTTTACATAAATAAAATCAAGGTCATCAGAATTTGCAGTCTGTATGCAGATGTAATCTTTAGCCACAGGGAAAGTGTACAGAGTGAGAAGACAGGAGGATGGTATGGAGGGCCCTGGGAACCCTGGTCTTTGAGAGGTGGGCTCGTGAGGCAGCTGATTAGGGGCAAGTGTGATGTCCTGGGAGCCTGGAAAGTTAAGAGTTTTAGAAAGAATAAGTGATTGTGTTGAATGATAATATGAGGTCACAGAAGACCAGCACTGGGACATACTCATTATGTTTTTTGGCTGTTGATCAGTGGCGACCTTTGCAAAAGTAATTCTGTAGCATGACTGCAATGGAAGACTGCCATGTTTTAATGAATAGGGGTTTAAAAAAAATAAGTTAAGGCAGCCAGGGCAGAGCCTACATTCAATACATTTGGAGAAAAGAAGAAGATGGAGAAACAGACAAAGAAATAATTAAGGGAAAATGATGGGTAGAGAATGAGAAGACTAATTGAAACAATAACTGAAACAATTTGTGGAGGAAGACAAAGAAAACAGGGTCTGAGCTCAGGCTGATGGGTTTGCCTTGATAGGAGGTACCCAACTTGCTCTGGGATGAATATACATACAGCTAAGTGGTTCTCCCAACTGATGTTTTATTTTTAACTTTTCAAACCATGTGGGATTTATTTTGATAAATGATACAAAAGTAATAGATCCCCGTCCCTTATTGCCTATGATAAATGTTGAATGAATGAATGAATAGTAAACAGCCCCAGGCCTAGACCCTTCCCTCACGAAGGACTCAGATGGACCATTGTTGGAGCACAGGCATTCCCACACACTCCTTGCCTTCATCCTCCACCCCCTGGCACCGGTTCCTCATTCTCCAGAGCCTGTCACCAGCTACAGCTCTCACGCCATTGGGAAACACTGAGGAGATTAATGGGGAGGAGTTCGTAGTTCCAATCTCGTGAAGGCTGGCAGAATCTCAGACTTGCCAGCTATCTATTTTCTTTGCTTGGTTTCTGCCAGAGGCAAGAGCAGGCAGCAAGTACAAGAAAAGAGTGACAGCAGAAAAGATTAAAAGGAAAAAGAAAGACACAGACTAGGGAAGATTTACTGCTAAAACTAAACCAGAGTAGATTAGGGAAGAGAGGTTGGTCACAGTATTACAAGCTGCATATGAGTGTTTAAGATTATGTGGATGACCTGTGGTACTGGGTGATCCACACAGGTGTCCCTCTGCACACACACCTTCAGATAGCTGTGAGAGTCCCCTCCTAAGTACCAAGAGCTCCATGTGCTAGGTCGTTTATGGGTCTTTTCTCCAGTAAGAGATCAAGGCAACATTATCTGAAAAGCCATATTGCCCTGACATTTTAATAACACTTATTTTAGCATTCTTTAACTATAAAATCTAAAGTATTTTCCAAATTGGTTTAGATACATCTTCACTTTCATCATTCACCCTTAATTTTGAAGGTTTGCAAGCCTTTTCTCAAGTGGGGGGAAAGTCTGCATTACTGGTGAGAGTTACTGATGTGAGCCAGAATTGGATCACTCAATTCACCCCAGAGGCCCCGGCAAGAGTTGTCTTGCTTGGTCACTAAGTTCTCATCAGTCCTCCCCAATTTTAGAAGTGTTGGATAATAATGCAATTCTACTTCTTATAAAGATATATTTATTCAACAAGCAGTTATTAAGCACCCAACACATGCTTGGCATTGGGCTGGATGCTGAGAATATTAAGATAAATGAGATAAAAAACTGGCCCCTTAAGATTTCGTATAGGAAAAAAATAGCAAATATATTTTTAATTTCTGCAATCTGATTTCTTCAGAGGATATTTGTTCAATATCCTTCCTCAGAATATCAAGACCTATGATATAGCCATTGCCTTGTGTATTATCAACAAAGCTACTTTATCACAAATAAGCAAAAGAGTACAATAAACTTGGCTATGTAAAATAAAACTTCTAGGTAAAGAAAAAAAGACTTCATCTAAAAGAACACAAGAGAAATGCCAACCACCCTCCCGCCCAATCCCAGGAGTTAATACCACTCCAACAACCATAACAAAACTTACCTGACTTGCCAACGCCTGCTCTTCCAAATATTGCCAGTTTGACCTCTGCACTTTTAGCCATGCTGGGTGGTGGTAGACAACTCACTGTCTTTCAAACTAAAGAGCTGAGAAAATTGTTTGGGTTTCAGCCTTTGGGTTCACCATATCATTGCAAATCTGCAATCCTTAAACAAAAGAAATTTGGGACTTCGTAAATGACTGGAGAAAGGAATTAATATTTATTAAGCATCTTCTCTATGCCAACCACCATTAATTAAACATTATCAACATTTTCCATTCTGAACTTCACTGCAATCCTGTGAGAGGGCTGCAGTAATTTACTGAAAACTATTCAACTACTAAATGACAGGTGCAGGACTTGAACTTCGAAGTTTTGGTTCTAAAACATGTGTATTTTCACTCACAGTAGCATTTTCTAAAGTACTTCCTCAAATAGTATTTTTATGAAGGCATTGTTTTTCTGTCAGTAATTGATAAATATTTGAAGTATGTAACTACATGCATTTACCATGTGTCTGTAAACATCCAAAATGCAAACAGATGTGACAGGGAGAGTCACATTTGGGACTGTTTATTTCCCTTTGGGTCAAATAATATACATTCATATAAGCCAACCACAATGTAATATAATTAAATTTGCATTTCAAGGTTTAAATTTTATCTCAGGTCATACTAGATCACGTGATCAAGTCATGTGATACTCATGTTCCAGGAATTTATATATAATATCTAGATCACATTTTAATATTTTTCTGGGCATAGTGGCCTGGTATACAAGAGAAATGCCATGCTCTGACTTCTGATTCCTTTTCTATGACAAGTTCAAGTAAATTAGTTTATGGTATTGTCCTAACACTTTGGAAATTACATTACTTACAATGTAAGCACATTTTATATAGGTAGGTACTTTGGGAAAGACACCTAGGTTCTTAGTACTGTAGAAATGTAAAGTTGAAAGCGCCCTGGGGTCAACCAAAAAATCCTCCAGCCATCTCTGAAATCATTCCCTATGGTCAGACAACAATCCTGTGTCTGTCTCATTTACCACTTTCTAGTGTGGAGGGGAAGGGGGAGCATTGTCAGACTCATATTTTCTTCACTGAGAACCCTTCAAGTGGCCTAGCAGCTTCTAGGACCCCTTGACCCTGGGTTCTACTCTCTAGGTCAATGAGGGTCCGCATCTTCCCTTATTCATCGTGGGATGTATGGTCTTGTTTACGTTTTTTTTTACCTTCACCTTCCCTCTTCACCAGATGCAGCTCTGTCCTCTGGCACGTGCCACTTTAATCACTCTAAAAACGTGGCACCCACTCGAGATGTGACCTGACAAACTGACCCAGCAGAAGTTCACTGAGATGTTCCCTCTTCATTATCTGTGCAGTGGTGGGACTGCCGCACACCACTATGAAGGCCGTTTTGCACAGGGGCCACAGCCTTCTTCACTCCGGGCTCCTTCAGTCACTGTCTCAGACCTAAACACAAGGCTTCACTTTTACCCTTGTTAAACTTGATCACACCAGTCTCCACTTCACCCATTTCTCCAATCCGTAAAGAGAATTTGGAAACAAATCTGCCCTCTTAATGTGTAAACTGCTCCTGCCAGCGTTTTGTCATCCACAGATTTTCAAAAAGGCTTCTCAAGTGAAAGATTAGTCCTTCTAAAAAAAAGTACTCCTATAAAGACATTAACACGTAATTGTTTTCTTCATTGTGCAGCCAAGCCATCAACCTGTACTTAAAAATTTTGTATTTACTGATTTCCACAGTTCCAGAGCTTCCTCTGAAGGATGGAAAGGTCAACATGAACATTAAGCTATCGTTTACTTCATCCCCAATAATGAAAAAACTTCTTAGTAATCATTAATAGTACAAAATCCAGAAGCATTAACATCTGTAATCTGGCCAGTCCCCTGTTTTGGCTACAGATAACAGCATGCCCTTATTTTAATTTCACAATGCACTCATTAGGAAGAAGCCTCTGTGTTTAGTGCTTCATCACAGAAGTTCCATAGAAGCATAATATATAAAGATGCATTAACTGTAAATTCTATACAAGAATGGCAAACATTTCTTTGAAACACAGTCCGTGCTAGCATCTGGAGCTTGTATAAACAACAATTTGTTATTTCATGCAAAATTGTTCATTCCCATGCACATAAAATCTATGTAATTACCTATCGAATTGAGACTTCATGAAAGTAGCCATCAAATGTGATTTTAAAAAAACACATATTTGTTATGTCAAATATTTCAGTAACTCCCAAATGGCCTCAGAAAAATAGGTATTTCACATGAGAAAGAGAAATTGGTTGGACTAATTTTTTTCATTTATAACCTAATAAAGATACAGCTGGTTATTGTCAATCTTTTGTCACGTTTAGAAAAATGACTTAAAGGGAGACACAAACTAACATATATCCTTCAACATTTTATTTCTCATATGAAAATGTGAAGAGTTATATTTGACAAAGAGAGAGAACAAAGATAAACGTATAAATTGTTGTAATAAGTGACCTGTTGCCAAATTTCTGATGTTCAAAAGAATTCATAAACCAAGACCTTCCATAAAAGAACAAACAAAAAAAAATTGTTTTAATGTTGTTCTGCAGAAATATTCTGGCTGAGTCTAGCAGTTGCCACTCACTTTTTATGTAGACAGTGCTTTATTAGGACAAAAACTTCTGGGTTCCTACCACTCCTAAAGGGAAACTTACACGTAGATATTTGAGAGATTAAAGCTATAGTGATTTTTCCCCCACACATAAAAGACCTAAAAGAAAGCTTAGAAAAAAAAAAGCAGCAGCCACTAGCCTCTAAATCCTATGCTATTACTAATGCATTAGTTGATCCATTCCACACTTATGTTAAACATATACAAACAGAGGAGCTACCTTCCAGGAGCTTACAATCTGTTAGACCTATGGCATTTCGGTCACTAATAACCTCATTAAAAAAATATTTAAAGAAAGGTTTCATTCATAATAAATCATTTCCAAGACTACTTGTCAAGGCCCATGCTTTCCATTTCCTCTGGGGAAAAACAAAAAACAAAAACCTCGTATCTTTATGAGGTAATAGTTTTTCTAATTTCTGTATTTATCATCAAAATAAAGTGCAGCTGTGTAGGGAGGGAAAGAATCTAGTCTGGTCGTGGGAATGAGGTTCTCTTTGGGCTGCCCCATCTCTAGCTCTGAGGTCAAGTTTTCCCGGTCTCATCACCGGGAATTCTCTCTCGTCTTACGACGCAGCAACCACAACGACGAGAATAATTGTACTAGACCCTTGGCGATGGCGCTGCTCCCAAAGCAACAGGTGTCCTGCAATCATAAACAAGCCCACTGTGGATCGCAGGTCACCTGCCGGCAGCCTAGAGGGCAAACGCGGTCCAAGTCAAAGGGGCATGTGGGTCCCAGCTCGGAGGGCGCTGTCAAACTCTGGGCGCCGGAGCTCACATCTTTTTTTCAGGGAACCCCAGAGCAGCCCTGGGGGATCAGGGACCAGGAGCACCCACCCAGAATCCGAGCGTTCAGGGACACGGAAGGGTCTGCAGGAAGTCGTCCGGAAAGAGCCACCTGGGCACGTGCGTGACACTCACCTGTTCACAATCTCCAGGCCCGGGAGAACCGCGGTCCCCTGCAAGTTTGGAATCCGACCCCCGGGACGGAGAAGCCCTCCCACGCCGCGCAGCCAGGCTGGGTTCCCGAGTTGCCGGGCGGCGATCGCGGCTGCGAGCGGCGACAGCAAGTGCGGGCGGCCCGGCGGGAGTCTCCTGGCTCGTGCTCGCTCCGACTAGCGGCCGAGGGACTGCGGCAGGACGCGCGAGCTCAGCCCGGCCGAGGCCGCGACGCTCCGCCGCCAGGATGCTGCAGTGCGGCGCTCCGGCGCCCCCTGCTGGGCCAGGGCCGCTCGCGCCGCGGTGCTGCCCCCCACCCCTCCCACCCCGAGAGCGTGGACTCGCCGCCTTCTGCGCGCTGCACCCGAGCCAGGCTTCCCTTTCCCTTGCTCAGTTCCCGGTCTGTGGGTTCTCGCACAAAGATCTCTTTCCTTAGTCAAAGTGTTGCGTGCGAAAAGCATCACTAGGCGGTGTTCTTTTTTCCTGGCTTTAATTTAAACAATGCGCACAGCCTCCCTTTGAGGGCCGTTTAATGATCCCCATAATATGCAAGAGGAAACTGAAAGAGAGGATAGGTAACTTGTCCAAGGCTAGTATCTTGTTGGTACGAAGTCCAGGCCAGAGTGGAAGATGACAGATGCTAGCAAGGACATAAGTACTGAACTCAATTGAAATTTAACTTGAATATTTGCCAAAGTTCCGAAAGCTTCACATCCTCCTTACGAGATCAGCACTTGGGATGTTTTCTCAAACCCTAAAAAAGGTGATTAATTTTGTGCTGTGCTAGACCTGCTTTCACTCTCATCTCATTTGATATTTATACCCTTCTTGGGGTGAGCACTAGTATGGTCATTATTAGCCGTTCACAGATGAGGAGATGAGTTTCAGACAGGTGAAATGATTTCCCTAAGACTATCAAAGGAGTAGGAAACATCCACGCTATTTTTTCCCCATGAATCTGGGCGTTCTTACCCAGATACCAGGTGGCCTCCAGAAAGCCACTGCAATATAGAGCAGACAGTGGGTGACGGCTAAGTGAGCAGCCCGCCGTGAGTCCTTGATAGAAGAGATGGAACCAGGGAGGCAGTATCCACAGCCAGTGCTAACCTGGAGAGCCCCTGCAGCCACTTGGTGTGGGCCAGGCTGAATGGAGTAGCTAGGTGTGTGGCAGATGTTGGAATTGCCCAGCTGTGCAGGAGTCGTCCTTCTAAAGCTCAGATTTGATCCTTTAGGACTTTGTTGATCGTTAAGCTATCTCCCTCTCCCCAACATATGCCTGGATCAGATGACCTGATTCTATGTCACTTACCACCCTGTTATCCATGATCATGTTTGTATTGTACTCACTTTTATTTTTGTCTTCTCTATGAAACCTGAACTTCCTGAATGTAGGAATATATTGTATGTATTTCTCTATTTCTTTCTGCTACCATCATGCCTGACACAGTGGGTATTCAAAAAACCATTGTTGAATGAATGAAGGGAAAGATCAAGTTGGGACAGGGGGGTGTTTGATTTTGATGTGTTTTTTTTGTTTTGTTTTGTTTTTTACATGCTGAATTTGGAATAGAATAACCAGTAAGAAGTTGAATATATGGGTGTGAAGTTCAGGAAAGAGGCCTGGAAAAGAGATTTTATTTCTCAGCATGTAGGAAGTGTTTGAAGCTGGGTATATTGAAAGTATTGTCCAGGTTGATTATAGAAATCCAATTACATAGAATTTTGTAACATTAAGATGTTTAGTTCTCACATGTTACCTTCTTTTCTAGGCCAATCATGTATCTGTGGAAGGATTGAATACAAAATATCTATCAGTGGTTCTCAACTTTCCTAATGTGATGACCCTTTAATACAGTTCCTCATGTTGTATGTGGGCACATCTGCATATGAGCAGACCTGCCTGGAGATGGATAGAGGAGCGGTGTCTGGGTTCCTAAAACCATCGGAAATACGTGTTTTCTGATGGTCTCAGGTGACCCCTGTGAAAGGGTCGTTCATCCCCCAAAGGGGTCGCGACGCATAGGTTGAGAACCGCTGGATTAGATAGATACATCTCCTATTTACAAAGACTTGAGTTGGAAGTCCCACTTTGCCATACTTATCTAATCGGAATTATTGAAGAGGGCTCAAGCCAGTCCCATTATGTAACAGTTCTTTGGGATCTGGTCTACAGAACCTGTTTCTGTTTTCCTACTTAGCCCATAAAGGCCACCGGAACTCTTTTCTCTACTAGGGAAGCATTTGTTTGCATGCACAACCTGCAGTTCTTGATGTACTATGCCAAGAGAGATGAGTGGCTATATTGGAACCTGATGCTCAGTGCTATTCTTCAGTACACGTCCTGTATTCAGTGGGAGCGATTCCTTTGTCTCAGAAGCAGCAAAAAGAAGCCGCCCTCCCTTATGCTGCCTGGTTCATGGATTAGTAAGGACAGAGAACACTTTGCACTGGGGCTCCACAATCTTAGCGTGCCTGGCAGCAATTCCCCTGGAGAGAGGGCTTGTCATCCTCCAGTTTCAGTCTGGCTTCAGCTAAAACTTCTAATACAAAACTAGTAGATAAAGAGTCAGTGTAAGCCAAAACATTAAACACTAGAATTGTGTGTGTGTCTATAGTTGCTAATCATGTTCATTGTAAATAATTTAAGTAGTAGAAAAAAAATACAAAGAAGTAGAAAGTCAGTCCCAAAATCACACTATCCAGAAATAACCATTGCTATCAAAAGAGGACCATCATTCCACATACTGTAGAACATAGTTGAACCAATAGATATGTCTTATAGCTCTGCTAAGTGCTATCATACTCTTTTGAATAAGTAATTAAAAGCCATTTAAAATTTTAAATACACCTAATTCAGCAGAAGATAAAGAAATTAAATTTAACCTTAAAAGATGACTGAACTTTTAGGTCTTTATTCACTTCGTGAGATATTTTATCCTAAAGAGTCCTCTCAAGTTAAATTTGTTATATAAGCTCAGATGTGAATTCATTATGTTTAACCATACATTTGCTTGTATTTGTATGGTTATTAATATAGTTATATAGTTTATATTTAACCACTATTTGTCTTAGTCAATATCATTTGACCTCTTACCATTTAAAAAGAAAGAAAGCAACTCTCTTACTATGCCTCTCCCTGCTCCTTCCCCCTATACTTTTATTTCTGTATTATTTATCCTTTATTAAGATTTATAATATTTGTTTTTGTTCTGTAATACTAATATCCAAAGTGGTCTAAACTTAGTTCTATATTTAAATGAGATAAATTTATTTAATTGTTTTACTATAGTTTTTCTATAACTGATTCTTTATTTTGATTAATCTTTTCATTTCTTCATCAAGTAATGTTTTCAAGGAGATCTTACAGGTGCTTATTGTATAATCGAGAATATTCATCTCTTCCTTTTCACGTTGTTCGTAATTTATTTTGTCATCACTCTACTTTTACTTATTATGATTTTTCTCCTCTTTTATGCATGTTTTTACTTGTTATATTGCTTATTTTTAAATCAAGTATATTTTCTGTGATAAATAATAAGTGAATTCCACTTGGCTCTGATCCTACCTTATGTGAGACCTATTTGTTTTCTCTGTGAAGCAAAGGTTTGAGGGCTGAACATTTCACTCTGTCTACCATCCTGAGATGAGAAGACAAAGCAAAGAGAAGTCATCTGAGTCTCTTTGGAGCCTCTGTTAAAGGTGACATGATCCACTGCTTTTCCCCGAGATTTTATTAAGGACCCTGTACCAGGACCTAGAGCAGGCAGACAGGATCAGACAACACTCCAAAGAAAGATTCCTGCAGACTTGAGGTGGTGTCCATTCATTCTTAGAGCCCTAAGCCTTTTTCATCATAACTACTCCCTCTGTCCTCTCCTCCTATCACAAAAGGAGAAGGTTAATCGCTCATTTATTTCACTCCAGATTTCGAGGTTTCCTTATGGGTGTGAAAGAATATTCAGGACTGATGACTCCCTAGCTCTGCTTTTGGAAGGCAGGACAGTCTATTCCATGATTGTTTATTTCCTCAGAGGTCTCATTTTAAGATCTAATGGCAAGAAATCATACCCCTTTCCTCCTTTTGCTGCTCTAATGACTTTTTTTTTTTTAACTTGAGGGGGGTTACTTACTGTTATTGTTTAGTTAGTTCAATATTAGACAAGGACAAATCTGATCTGGGCCATGACTGGACTTTCCCTCTGATGGGAAAAGGCTAAGAGGAATATACAAAATAGCTGTTTGGAAGTGTTAGGAAACAACCAAAGCAAGACTGCCACTCCTCACAGAGAGAGTGCACTTGAGTTTAGTCCCACATTCACCACATTCTTCGTTGGGAACATTTTAGGGACCTCTTATCCATGGAGGTAGTGCCCGGACAATAGTAGAAGTCAGAGTTCAGGGCTACTACTGCAGCTGGATCCAGAAAGTTCAAGTGTCACAGAGGACAGCCACAGAGAGAGAACTTCAGATATTTGCATAGACATGCCCTCGGCACCTTGGCCCTTCCCTGGGCTGCACATTGTCTGGTGAGTCCTTGGGAGACCCGCTCAAAGAGCAGCTGCCTGAGGTCTGAAAGCTAGGTTGAGTTCAGCAATCTCAGGGTCCGGGGAAGACACTGCAGATGGATCTGGCCAGAGTTCAGAGAACTTTGTGAAGAGCTGGAGGTTCTAGAAGTGAGGACCATGCATTTAGGAACAAGGGCTTTAATCTAGGAGTAACTCAGATCTGAAATACAAAACCAAGTTAATCTATAGGTACATTAACTTCTCTCCAAAACAAAACTCAACACTCCTGAAAAATATAACATAATTTAGAGTGAGAAAAATATAACATAAATTTGTGTGAGAACAAATTTTCCTTTACCCTCAAGTTTCTTCTGGCTGGTCTAATAATCAAATAGACATGAGACAGATTAGCAAGAGAAAATAACCAAATTTAGCACATACATATGTATGGAAATCCTGCATACATGAGAGATTCAGAGATAGAAAAGGGGGTTGAGGTATATAAGACATCTTAAGCCAGGGATGAGGCAATGTGCCTTGGAAGCTTCAAAGGGTCAGTAGTGCTTAATAGATAGGTCAAAAGAAGTTATCCATCATTTTTTATGTATTCATACATGAACACACATACACCAAAACATACACGTTTTTAAATGGACATATTGGATCATAATCTACAAATTGTTTCTTTTT